AATTTGGGATTGAAAATTTAAGTCATTACCTAGGTGCCTGGAGACTTGCGAAAGGTGTTTTGCAGTGAAAGAGCAAAGATGACAACACATGGACACGCAATTAGGTTAAGAATGCGATAATCAGCATTCATGCGTAATACCGTATGCAAGACGCTCCGCTAACTAGGCCACTGGAGATGGTCATATGAGTAATACACAGCGATAAGACGCAAGAGGTCCACCCCCAGCCACATAGAATATCCAATGAGAATATAACTGTGGGAATAGAGGGCACGGAGGAGGAGTTAACTACCCTCTGTCGTCAATGCCTAATCAGCAAAGTAACACTATAAATTAGGAAAAGTCAAGAGACTTGGAATTCTGATTTTAAACAGAATATTCAGTTGTCAGCCGGAGGCGCTGCTCAATATGGGTTTAACAAGCGCCGGAAGGGCCTACAGTCTTCTATGTCAAGTAAGTCTTGTTCACGTATATTAGCCATGCCGAGTGATAATAACGTTGTTCCATAGTATTGGTGATACAGTGTGTTGAGATATTGCATGTGCAATTTCAAGTGTACCCAGTGAGCCCCGAGGGTAGGATGATAGATTAATGTGAAGGCCTAGGACATTAGGCAGGCCAACAGTGATTCATAATATATATATATATCAAAGTTAGGGTTAGTGGGTTATAGTAAAGATAGTATATGGGAACTTGAGTTACAAACATAACTAAGGGTAGTTTATGTAGACGAGACCGTACGATAGATCGGTAATCATAGATCATGTATAATAAGAAATGTACAGGGAAACTATATATGTTCTCGAGGGGGACTTGCATGTCCTCGTTAGCAAGTCAGAGAGAGAGAGAGAGAGAGAGAGAGAGAGGCTCGAAGCCTTCACCCCATGAGGGGGAAGAACTTGAAGAAACAGAATATGTAGTCACGACGGAAGGACCGTCTTTGTAACCTGTAAATAATGTAAATTGTGTATATATATATATATGTAAATAGACAGCTAGGATAGGATAGGATGTACCGGGAGTGTAATTCATATATATATTCCACCTCCCACACCCGATCCCGAGTAATCCTGACGAGCGAGGGCAGAACTGACACAGGCCGCAGTGGCAGCCGAAGATGAAGATAAGAATAGGCAGGGATAGGCTCCTGCCACACAGGCAGAGTACGGTAGCCTTGATAGTAACGCCCTCCCAAGATCCGAAGATAAAGTGTAATATTAATGGATTACGTGGCTACCTGTAAACCATATGCGGAGTGGTCAAGAAGGAGCTAAGACTATATGTCAGGGAGTAGTACCAACAATTGAAAGAACAGAAAATAGATGGTGGCAGCTTGTATGACAGAAGGAAACTCCGATATAGGAGAATCCTAGCTAAGGGTAAGCTAGGATGGTTGCGTTAACGCCTTACAGCAGAACCAGTGGAGGCAAGGAGGGGTACCTGCACACCCCCGACGGCGCGACGTTACCAGGAGTACCAGTTTACGGCATAACTAGTGGAGGCGAGGAAGGATACCTCCACGGCCCCTACATGCGGAGTTACAGTGGGGACAGAGGCGGGCTGACTCCACGCCCCCCTGTACCACGGCATTACAGCGGCGACAGCAGCGGGAGGGATGCCTCCATGCCCCCCTGCGCCGCTAGGGCATTACAGTGGTGGCAGCGGTGGGATACCTCCACGCCCCCTGCCACCAGGACATTACAGTGGTGGCAGCGGTGGGATACCTCCACGCCCCCCTGCCACCAGGACATTACAGGTGGAATGAAAATTGGCAAGGGAAACCGAAGTACTCTGAGAAAACCCGCCCCAGGGCCACTTTGTCCACCACAAATCCCACTTGACCAGACCCGGGATCGAACCCGCGCCGCCGCGGTGGGAAACCAGCGACTAACCGCTTGAGCTATGGCGCGGCCCTTGCATTACCATATCTAAAACTGCTTATGTACTACACAGTCCATCAATAATGCATCAAATTGTTCCTTCTTTCTTACACTTTCACTTTCGACACAACATGTTTCGGCCCTAAATGCTTAATTAAATAAACATTATGCCTTGAAAACATGTGGCGAAATGGAGATATGGCTCCACCATTGTTAACATCGGCACCAATGGTGGGTGGTGTACTTCACTCCCTGGCCACTTTTACCCTTTGGAAAAGAACTCCTGGGCCCCAGAGTCGGCCCGGACATTATGGGGAAGAAGAGAAATTTGTCACTGCCGTGAATCGAACCCCGGCCTTCCAATCTGCAGCCCGTCACTGTACTGCCCGAGCTATCCCGGATAATCATAAACAAGTACGAGAATCGGGACAGCAGTGAGTATATGAATAAGCTGCTGGTTGGTGGATAGTTCGCTAGAGCCTGGGGATAGGTACTTTACCTGCGGGTTCCACAAATTGGGGGGGGGAAATTATTCGTAGGCTGTACGATTAACGACTTATCAAAAAGGATTCTACTCCATGGCGCTAGGTACATAGGCAGATTATTGCACTTCGTTGTACAAATTTAGCATAATAGAAAGTCATAATTTTGTTATTGTGCTCTATTTAAACTGCAGGACGGGGAAGCCGTTACCTGCACACGTCAAGTGTCTTGTTAGAGAAATGTACAGTATATTGCTGTAATGTTCACGGAAACGGCTGTGGCAACGGTTTCATTATTAATTGTGCTCTTCACATGTAACAATCTCTTGAGTCCGTCCACGTATTCCATTTCGGAAACTCTCAATGGATTTCCATTAATTTGCGTATTGAGGATCTGCGCTACAAATTATCAGGCGAATTTAATTTGGATCCATACGGAATTAATCTGAACGTTACTTTACATGAATTCAAGTTGAGCTCTATAAAATGTCTTCATTGCAGAAAATCATTTTACATGGTTTAAAACATTTGCGTTGTAATACTCGTGTGTGTGTGTGTATATATGTATATGTGTGTGTGTGTATATATGTGTATATGTGACGGATACTAACTCTACGGACCAGTACTTCTTTAGGAATTCGTCCCTTATCAATTCCAAAATCTCCTTTTCTTTTATGGAATCCAAAATTTAATTACTCTATTCACAACAGCCAAGCTCTGTAGCCTCTCCCTCTCTTTCTCTTTCCTGTTTCTCCCATTGTGGAACATAGGACATCCGCGAAACACTTTGTTTCACTTCAGTTTCTTAATCATAAAACATTCGATAGTACCCCTTTGACGGGGGATCAGCCCGTCACAAGGCCGTTGGCTACACAAACACAGAATAAACGCAGACAAACATCCGTATCTTGAGTGGGATTCGAATCCTGGATCGCAGCGTTCGAGCGAGTGAAGACAGTACGTGACTCAGACGTACTGCCGCTGTGCTCTGTGGCCTACTCTGACCTAATTGAATCGCATCCACAATCTAAGACTCCGTGTTTTTAAATCCAGTTCAACACAATTCTCCCACCCCCGCCTGGACCTAAAAAATTGTTTTCCCTTTCTGGGTATTCAACTAGACTTTGTATCCATTGATCGCCTCGCCATGCGAGTTGCAAGTCACATTAATTTTACCATCTTGAATTTAATTACCTTCCTTTAAATGTTTTTATCTGTAAAATTAAAACTAGATTTAATTTCAGGTGATAATCATACAGCTTATTTATATATTAAGCATAATTTCCGCCGGTAACATGAAAGTTGCCAGACATAGACACGGATTGTCGATATGTAATTTTTAAGTTGCAATATTGTGTCGTACGTAATTTGTAAATACCGTTTACAAGCTGTCTCCATTTATTTTTTCAGTGGCTCTTCGAGCCCATTCAAGGCCCAGACTTCATATTCAATTCCGTAATCATTTTTTCACAAACGGTATGATTCCAGGGACGAGTGATCATCCCATGGCAAGGTCGCTACGTAAACTCAGGACAACACAAACACAGAATAAACGCAGATAAACACCCATGCCTTGAGTGGGATTCGAACCCATGATTCTAGCGTCCAAGCGAGCGAAGAAAGTTCATGCCTTAGACCGCACGGCTACTGTGATGGGAGAGCTGTCTCAATACCTAAGTTAATTTACACAAAACAGTTACAGATTCAGTGCGCCCTCCATAGTTATATTCTGTTATACAGAACACGCATTTAAAAATGAAATCTTTCTTACAACCTCTACTTTCACACAAATAATTCCAGAGCCCAACATTAGGCGGAGATAGTGACAGCGTTGCTCCCCAACATATTCTGGTTACTTACGATGTGATACGACAAATATAAAGGATATATTCACCTCCAATATCGCATTTTATTACCAAGTTTCATGAAATTGTGTAAAAATTTACAGTGGTGGCAGATATAGGCCTACATCAAGGAAGTAGGCTCAAGCAATAAGTTTCCGATTTGTACCTGGGAATTTCCACCAGGACATCGACTATCTAGACTGAAGTTTTATTTATAGTTTTCCTCAGTCTCTCCTGTACAATACCGTGAAAAGGCTATGATCGTTTCCACATCCTTTCCAATTCATTGTTTATCATCATCGAATCATCTGACGCTGTATCGTCCAGTTGCAGACAGCGTCGTTATGTAGGCTACAATTAAACAAACAAGTTTATCTTTTCTTATAAAATAGTAGAAGTCTGCAGTAGTGAACATTCTGTTATTTCCATTTTGTAGAAGTGTGACGATAGGATGGGATGGTGTGGATTGAATTGAACTGGCTTAGGATAGGGACCAGTGGAGGGCTCTTGTGAACACGGCAATGAACCTTCGGGTTCCATAAAATGCTGGGAAATTCTTGAGTAGCAGCAGAATTGGCGGCTCCTCCAGAAGGGCTCAGCTCCATGAGTAAGTAAGTAAGTAAGTGACGTGTTTCTCACTTTGCCTTATGATTTATATATAAATGGATAACATGACATGCTGCAGTTAGAATATTTAATATTGTCTTCTCTCTGTGACGTTGTATGCAGCGACAATAATGCCATCATATCTGTACACTAAACAGAGACGGAGTGTGCGCGCGCAGTTAGTGTTGCGGGATGCTGGCTGCGCCTATGACATCTATTCAGTCGGTGATCTGCCGTGACGGCAACAGCTCGTGAGATGGAGGGTGCTTCGCATAGTAACATCCCCGCTGTAACCGAGGGCTCAGACTCAGCGCTCTATCATGTGGTACGTCATTAAGCTAAACTAAGGTTACTAATGAAACTCTGTTTTCAGTTCTGCAACTTAGCTTCACGAATATCTTAAGGACACGGTAATGAAGTGTTAAACATGTAACGTTTCACTGTGTTTCATTGTTGGTTCCATTGCGGCAAAACTCATAACAGAGACAGAACTCAGGGCTTCGTGAATACTGATATTTTAAAATGGTCTAACTTACATGTTTTCTATGTTATGTACATCTGCAGCGGTGTAAGTATATTTAAGTTCTTGATTACAGTCAGAATGAGTTCTCTTTGGGAAATATGATTTAAATTGAAGTGCTAGATCTTCCATGGGTACGCGGTAGTGTAGTTGGTTGAGGCACTATGCTATAAGCCGGAAGGTCGCGGGTTGGATAACCGATTTGGTCATTAGATTTTTCAATTAACCTAATCCTTCGAGCCATATTATGGCTGAGTGCCAGGAATATTTCTTGGGGTAAAGGGCGCCTGGCGCGTAAGGCTGACAACCTCACCGCCATCTGTGAGCCGATTGTCTAGAAAATGTGGGAGCCTCGATGTCTCACAAATCTATAGGCCTTCAAGGTCTTTTGCAGGGAGAGCTTTACCTTCGTTTTGCTAGATCTTCCAGCTTCCTAAACACTTAACATGTGCTTGTCTAGAAACATTAAGGAAAGAGGAATTTAAACGGAATTTAAATTTCATTGATCTTAAGATAGGCCTATGGTTTCTTATATAATGCAGGTCATACCGAGGTTAGGACGAGGCCCTGAATTGTCAGTCTGAGTTCAATTTCTCATCCAGTTAAAGAGAGATGTGTGCAGAAGTTTGGGAATAATAGTTCAACAGTAGTTTGCCTGCTCTCAGACGCTGGACATGTAGAGCGAGCGGATTTGAGTGATGAGAAAAATATTTTAACTTCAAAAGTAACAACAGAAGGATAGAGAAAATTGCATAATGACAATTTAATAATTTTTTCTCATTACGAAATACGTTTAGGTTCAAGGAATCGAAGAAGATTGGATATGAATGAGATGTAACAACCACAGTATAGATGAAAAATGTGCACAAAAAAATTTATCGAGAAAGTATGAAAGGAAGGGATCACTTGGGAGGTATATGCGTAGATGGGATAATAATATTAAAACGAACTTTAAACAATTAGTGTATCAAAGTGTGATTAAATTCAGCTGACTGAAGTACCCTCCAATATCGGTCTCTTGTGTAGTAATATTTCGGCTTCTGTAAAAGGCGGAAAATTTCTTAATTAAATGAGCTATTATATGGTAAAATTAAAGTCATCCCTGTGCTTAATTACTCAAGAATTAAGCCATGAAGACGTGTGGTTGAGTGAAGGTATTTTTTTTTCCTTGGCACTACAGCCCCAGTGGGCCTAGGCCTACCTCCATGAACTCCGTTCACTTCGGTTTTTCTAGATCTTACACATACGGTAGGACTCCTTGGGCGAGTGATGAGCTCGTCGCAAGGCCTCTACCTGTAGACAAACACAGAAAAACGCACACAAACATCCATGCCCTGAGTGGGATTCGAACCAACGATCCCGGCTTCCGAGCGAGTGAAGACAGTGCATGCCTTAGACCGCGCGACTACCGTGACCGGCCGGAATGAAGGTATACCTCCACCATTTTTTATGTCGGCCATAGTTGGAGGTGAGTGATCAGCTTAACACCCCGGCCGCTTTACCGCCGAAGAAATAGCCCCCCCCGTACCCATTTGATGGAAGGTCCGGTGGGCCCAAGAGCCGGTCTGAACACTATGAAGATGAGATAAATATCTTTTCCTCCGCCAGAAATCGAACCCCGGCCGTCCTGCATGTAGCCCCATCCTGTTATGTGAGTTTCTAAACTGGATTGTCCTTCATGGAATGATGTCGCATAGTTAATCTTTGAACCCGAATTTAATGATAAATAATAAATGTTGAGCATTTGTTTCTTATAATTTCCTATAGTTTCCACTAATAACCTAAGGGCTCGTGATACTGTTTATATTGATCGTCAAGAATGATCTGCTATACACAAAATTAGAGGCCGTGATCAGTTCTATGAGGAGTCGGTGTTTTGACTGATAATTTATATCATGGTGATCTGCGGCACAAAGTAGCGTAGTTGGTTGAGACACTATGCTACAAGCCAGAGGGTCATGGGTTCGATTCCCGATGAACTCACTGGATTTTTCAATCGACATAATCATCCCAGCCGCACTACGGGACTGGGTTCGACTCAGCCTTTAACAGAAATGGGTACCAGGAATCTTATTGGAGGTAAAGGGCGGCCGGGACGTAAGGCTGACACCCTCACCGACATCTGTGATCCGATTGTTTGGAAAATATCAGGGCCTCGACGTCTCACAACTCTATGGCCTCCACGGCCTCTTACAGGGATAGCTTTACGTTTTTTACCATGATGATCAAGGAATAAGGTTCAGATTAAAGATCCCGAATTTTTAAATTTATATCTACTCTAAGTCAGGCATTTTTGCGCCTATGATCTGAGGGTTAATTTAGAGGCTGCAGTTGGCGCGTCTAGAGCACGAATGTGGGATCGTAAAGAAGATACTGTGACCTAGCATGTGTCACTGGGAAAAAAGAAAGAGACTTGCTACTGCGGATACTAGCCGCGTTGTTATGCACGATTTGCATTCTGCATGTCTTTCTTAATGGCTTGGAAACTTGTCGGGCGCACATTTGCTAACCAGAAGTGCCCCTTTCCTTTCATACAATAGAACGTCGGTGACTAACTCTGCCGAGCGAGGAACTTAGCTCAAGCTGTGACGCGACTCATTTTAATGGGGAAATATCCCTTTAGATTCCTGGCCGGAGTACTAATTATTCTTCCTGAAGTTTGCCATGGTTTTACTGAATATTTCAGTTGAATTTCGGGATGACGCATTGAGCTATTTATATATCTTCGCTTAATAATCCACTAATTACGAATCACCATGTTTAATATTCTTTAGTCTTTGCAGTTATATCATTTTTCTGCTTCTTCTTTTATGTAAAAAGTTAAAGTTGTCCCTGTAACAGGCCGTGGAGGTCCATAGGGTTGTGTGACGTCAAGGCCCCCATATTTTCTAGACAATCTGTTTACAGATGGTGGTGAGGTTGTCATCCTTACGCGCCCGGTCTCCCTTTGTCCCCAGGAAGATTCATGATACTTATTTCTGTTAGAGGCTGAGTTGATCCCACGGCCATAGTGCGGCAGGAAGGATTAGGTAAATTGAGAAATTCAATGACCTCATCGGGAATCGAATCGAACCCGCTACATTCTGGCTTATAGCAGTCCCTCAATCAACTACACTCCGCGTGCACTCTCTTCAATTTTGTTGAGTTTCTAAATAGTTCAGATTTTTAAAAAGTTTTCTGTAAGGAAACGTGATTTCAGCTGAAATGACCTGATGTTCATTCTGCTTCAACCCTTTACTCTTGCTGGGTAAGGGTCGCTTGCCTAGACGATAATAGCATAGTTGTTCAAGTGCGTAATTATTTAGGCAATACGCCATGAAGACGAATGGAAGAGTGAAGGAATAGCTCCACCATTCTTCACCTCAGCACTAGATGGAATTGAGCGGCTAGTTTCACGTCCCTGTCGCTTTACCCTCTGATAAACAGCCCAAGAGCCGCTCTGGACGCTGTGGAGAAGAAAATAATCTCTTGCCTCTGCTGGGAATCGAACCCCGGCCACCAAGCTACTACCTCGTCTCTGTACTATCTGGGCTGTCTTGGCTCATGCGTGTCTAGGAAATTGGTGTTAATTTAAATTTTTTGTGTATTATGATTATAGAGATATGGTTTTCTGATCGCCAGTCATTTAGGTAGTCAGTCAAATGGTTAGTTAATTAGTCAGTTTATTTTTTCTTGGCACTACAGCCCCAGTGGGCCTAGGCCTACCACTATTAACTTCTCCGTTCACAATTAGTCATTAAATACACTATATCTTCAATACCAAAATCAATTGTTAATTATAACAAAATTTAATACTATTACTTTCATATTATTTTCAGATTAACATTAATATTACTACATCTACATCACGAGCCTCCAATAACAGTTTATTATGTATACACAAAATACAGAATACTCCAATTTTTCCGTGGGAACACAACAAAATAACAAAAACCAACGACTGACTCGATGATGTAAAGCATCACTCGAAGAATTTTATTCTTGTTTTATACTATAACTTTTGTTTTTATATAGTCTAATTTATTGTATTTTTATGCCAAGTATTTTAATATAGTTTATATTATTGTATCCAATTTTACTAGTACTGCAGTTCAGTGGTATTTGCATGATAATGGCTTTTAATAGTCGAAACATGTAGCAGAGCCAGACTTGGCACTGACCTTAATATAGTTGTGTTGTGAGGGTTTTAATAATGTAATTGTGAATTAGTCAGTTTTTCAGCAAGCAAAAGAAACATAAATGCTAAAGCGGGGCGTTTCTAAGCGAGATGATGATTATGTGGGCCAGCAAGAAGCAAAGAAGGAATTGATCCTAACCTTCCATATGTATGTAAGTCAGGGCAATCAGCTTCTAAATCACATTCCAGTTAACTAGAATTTTCCCCCACAACACTGGAGATTTTCAGTAATCATCAGTGATACGTCACATCTGTTATTATCAGTAAACCTCAAATTTTATAAAGGACTTACTGTCTCTAAGAGAGAAGTTGTCATATACAATTTATGTCTCTTCTGGAGTTCACACACGGCGTCACATTCCAGAATACAGCACTCCATATATCCACATCTTCACAAATCCCTTTCGCCAGTGAATAGAGTCCTTCTTGAGGAACTGATAATCCCTAGGATAATCAAATAATTCCCTACTTTTCATGGAGCCCGAATGTTCCTTGCTTGTCCTTAAGACCCCAACACAAATCTCTATCCGGAGCTAGTTGAGTCCACTCCACACTCTCACTCCCGTACACCATATTTCTGCTAGATCAGTTTTAATATTATCATATTACTTCTGCCTATATGATTGTA